TATATAATTATATAATTATATATAGTTATATATATATAATAATAATAATATAATAATAATAATATATATATATATATATAACTTTTACTAATAATTAATAATATAAATTTTAAAATATCTGATATGTTGAAGTAGATATTTAGATACCGCATAACGCAACTAGTACATCATTAATCTCGAATAGATTAACAACATTAATCAAACATAAAATAACTTGATAAGTCCAAGTTTAATATTGCTCTTTTCTAAAAATTAAAAAATGTTATTTATGAATTATTAATTACAAATATTCATGCAAAATCACTAATCAGTTTTTATTACTCTAATTATATTACTCTCAATTAAAGTTTTCAATGAAATATAATAAAAAATTAAAAATATGAAAATGTCAATTTTGAAGTATAAATATAAAATTTTATAATAAATATAAACCATATGAAAATATTAAATATAAAGTAAATATGAAAAAAATAATTTTTTCTTCATTTTGAAGTAAAACAATGAAAAAATAAAATAATATGGAAAATATTATTTAACTGGCTGAAGTCAAAAAAAATAATCATTATTATAAATTCACAAGAAATTATTATTTTTTTAAATATTTTCTATTATTTAATAGTTTAAGATATTTTTATGTACAATTATTCTTAAATATTTTGATATTAAGGTTATTAATCATATGTTTAATTAACATTTTATTTTCTCATTATTTTCTTTATAAAAAACTTAAATTATTTTTTTTGTTGCATTTATTTTATATCAATTCATTTAATATTTTCATGTATTTAATATTCTTATTAATATTTTATTTATTAATATTTTATATTTTTATAATAGCATTTTATATCTCAAAAATTATTATTATTATTTTTAATAAATTTTATATAAATGTATTATATTATTGCATATAATTAACAATTTTCTTATAAAGATAGAAATAGAAATGAAATGAAAATAAAAATTATCTATTAAATATTAAATATATTTAATATTTTATTTTATTTTGTTAGATATTATTTTTATTTTTGCATGTTATTTATTCTTCATATATATTTTTACACTTTTAAGTTTCTCATATAGATCTTTCAATATATAAACATTTATAGATTATTTATCATATTTTTTCTACTAAATTTTCATTCATATTTCAGGCAGTAATTAAGAGGCAAAAATTGTTTTTATTATATCATTTTTAAATAATATAATGTAAATTTTCTATATTATAATTATAATAATCATAATAGTTCATAACAATATCAGAAAATTCATAAAAAAAAATAGTATGTTTGAAATTTAAATGATGTTCACAAGATGATAAAAAAGTGTAACAAATTAAATATTTTGTTGGCTATTTTTTTCAATTGATCGCTCTTCATCATAAATATGCCTAATATAATTCTTTGATGTTAATCTTCAGTGATAATTTTTATCGCCTTACATTGACGACTAATCACGTTGCAATCTCTCATCGGCTGACATGAATCAAATTCAACCATCGTTTTTTAAAAAATTATGAGAAAAAATTTCACTTATATCGATTCAACTTCATTTGTACTCTTCTATGCTTCTTCGCTCAATTTCTGGAATGTTACATCAGTGGGAACATCAATGACTAATGAAATTTATTCGATTATATTATCGATTATATTATGATTTTTATAATAGAGTTTCGCAAACACGCATGAATGTATTGGATGTTATAAATAATAAAGAAAACGCGAAATATAAAAAATTATATTTTAATTTGATTATATTTAAAATTCTTGCAATAATGTTATTCTGTTTATCTTTAAATTAGAACGTGAACATTCTTCTAGAATTTTCTTATAAAGGAAGATTTTATGATATTTTAACGATAATTTATAATAAGGAACTATGATCGATGGTAAATTAAATTGCAATAAACGTATATCTTTCATTGAAATTAATATTTAATGTAATCAATTGTATTTTTATTAAATTATCGATTATTATATTATTGAATTATTGTATGTATATTTTTTGAATTGTGATTTATTGATTCTAGTTCTAATATTTATTAATTATATCAGTAAATTAAATTCAATAATTTTTATAATTATGTACATAAAGTTATTTTTTTAACATGTTTCTATAGTTATATATTAAATTGATATATGGAAAAGAAGAAAAAATATTATTATTTTTATTATCCAATATATTTTATTATTTTTGATAAAATATACTGTAATATTTTTACTATATTATGAAAATAATATTTTTCAAATGAAATTCATTATAATTTCTTATATTACATGAAAATATATTTTTTTGTTGAGAATAAAAGAATTATTCTGCTAAAAGTATTCTATCATTTATTCATTTTCTACCAAATTTATAAATAATAATAAATTATTCTACAAATCTAACTCAATTATGATTTTGATTAATATTATGTAAATTTCTTAACATTCTTTCTTTAACATTCAATATTTAAAAACCTGAATTTTAAAAACTAATATCATATTAGCTTCAATCTTCTAACAAAGTTTAAATCTACGAAGTTTAGGAAGTTAGTTAAGATAGAATAAGATCCAATTTTTGAGATTCTTGACGTTAGAATAAATAAATTAAATTCTATAATATTTTAATAATCTAAACTTATTTAATCTTTTAGATTAAGCTTTGAAAATTTAAAGAGCTTACAACAACTGATTATAACATTACAAATCTTACCAATGAAGGACACCAATGAAGGATACACACCAAAGTAATAAATTGTATCTATGATATCAATATGATTAAAAGATATTAAAAGATATCAAAATATATAAAAAGATATTTTATTATAATATATTAATTATGAAAATCAATATTGAAAATTTTCATATACTTTTACTTACTTTATTTTCTCTTTACTATATTTTCAAATACTTTTCAATATTAAAACAATTTGAACATAAAAAAAAATTCATACAACATAAAAAAAAAATTACTATGAAATATTTAATTTGTGGAAAAGAGATATTAAAAATTTGATTTTCCTCTTTCCTTTTAAAAAAAAATTAATATTTATGAAAACTCAAAATATATGAATAAAAATAAAAATAAAAATGTTTATACAATATTATAATAATATTTCATTTTCGCTTTATTTTTAAGCAACTTTCTTTTTTAAACATAACTAGTGGTCGATTTTAATT